GGAATGGAGAAATGGAGGAATGGGGGAATGAGGGAATGGGCGAATGGGCGAATGGGCGAAAGGGGGGATTGGGAATGGGAGAATGGGGAGAGGGGAAGGAGAATAGATTATTTTCGAGTCACAAATACCAACGGTAAAGTAAAGAATGCACAACTTCAACAATGCAGACACTTCGAAATTTCACGGACCTTCACTGGAACACATGGATAGGGAAGGGAAGGGAATGGGATTGGGGATTGGGGAGAGGATTCCGAGATATGCCTCGCTTGTCACGCACAAAATCCCCCTCCCCTTCCTCTCCCCAGTCCCCAATCCCATTCCCTTTGTTTTCTGATCGATGTTGCGGCAAAATTCTTCAAACCCCCATCCCCCACTTCTTCTCCTTTGTCACCCTTCCCACTCTCCCCACCCTCCCCACCCTATAAAGGCAATAAATAAGAACCAGTTCTTTAGGATATTTTTGCCTTCTCCACTTCAAGTTTATTAACTTAAAAGTTGAATACACCGATCCCGCATTCATTGTTCTACCTCCCTAGTTACTGTTGCTACGTCGAATAAGCTATGATATTTATTTTTGATATACAGCAAGACTGCAGAAAGTCGTTAATTTGTCTTCTTAGAAGCAATGTTTTTAAAGGTACATTTAAAAAAATCTACTATAAAATCGCAAGGTTCTATTACACTGTGCAATTTTCTTAGCAGCTTGTCTCGCAATGCATGTAGCATTGCTGAGGAGTGTTACACTGCAACGCGATCTCAGCAACTTTTAATTTTTTTTTTGCTCCTTGGAAATAAAGTCGGAAATGTGCGCAAGCGCTCTTGAAAAATATGCCGCGACGTTGCGAGACAATTTACTGGGAAAACTTCGTATGGCAGCGCGAAGCATTTACGGCTACGCTGGAGATTTCGACCCCAACACCACTATTCCAGGAGGAATTACAGCCTCATCAGAAAGCTCGGCAGAAGCCTAAGGAAGAGGTTAGTCGGCCCCTAGAACGTAAACGATTAACCCCTTGCATATCAAAGCTCCCATGGTCAATCCTTTCCATGTGGGAGACGTTTTCAAAAATACCTGAAGTATATTTGCATGCAAACTTGGATTTTTTCTTTGTTATCCTTAATTTTTGGGTAGTTGGTTAAGATGTGCCATTGTTTCGTGCAGAAATGTGTTTTGTCAGTGATCAGAGCATGGTCGGTCACGATATGATTTCTATTTGCAAAGAAACATAAAAAAAAGCATTGAAACAACAGATCAGATTTCTTTCATTTCTCTCTCTCTCTCTTTTAATTCTTCTAGATAATTAAACAAATAAGACAGCACAACACCATCCACATTTCACCGACAGAACTTCGTGACAAAACTTATATGTTGCGCCAAACTCAAAAGAATGCAAGAATACTATTATGAAGAAAGCCTTCATCCATGCACTTGATATGCAATTAGGGACTTTGCAATAATTATCAGGAGGGGGGGG